TGCTGAGTCAGGCTTGATTTTAATAATCTTTTCCTGTTAAATAAATAAATCAAATCAAAACAATCAAATAATAACAAAGATGTGATCTGAAAAGGGGTGCCTTTGTGGGGCATGAGATTATTTTAAGTTTAAATATTTACTTATTTATTCCATTTTATGAACTCAACGGTAATGTGTTGTTTTTTAACTGCCTTGCTCCAAAAATAATAAGTAAAAACAATATTTTTACCTAGCAAGGTTGTAACACTCATTGATATATATTACTTTTATTATATTAGTATAAGGCCTACATCAAAACTATTCCAATCCGGACGGCGAGGGAACGCCAGATCCAATGATTATTTCCGTCATAAGGGGTCTTCGGGCTGCGCTTTGTCTGSTTCCTCACCTYGGACCTGTCTGCCTTGGGTGACCCTACCAGGGGCATAAAGCCCCAGACAGCATAGCTCCTAGGATCATTGGGACACTCAAACCCCTCCACCACCATAAGGTAGCAGCCTGAGGAGAGGTTCTATGAAACTAGTTGTCAAACTGTACTCCTGGTGAGATTAAAGAGCTGCTGCAGTACACAGTATAATGCTGAGTACACATTATTGTACCACAGCAGAAACATTTACTTTGTTGTTGATGAAGTGTGAAGAGGCAGGTTTGATCAGTGAATTCAAAATACAAAAATATTACCTGCTAGTGTCTTAGTCATTAAAGTCCAGAGCTGATGTCCCCATCTGATTACTGCTGGTTACTGTATGCTTCAGTTCAGTTTGGACAGTTTCTAAGTCCTGCTGTTTGATGCTAATGTGCTAAAACATTAACTGTTTATTTATGGCAAAGCCTACTAAAGAACAACTTGACAAGTTGCTCAACATTGTTCATTTTAATCACTGCATGTTTTTTCATGTGAAGGCTAGAATATTGACTTTATTCTCATAATATTATGACTTTAAACTCATAATATTACATCTTTATTCTCATATTATGACTTTATTTTACACTACTTTAATATCATGATATTATGACTTTATATTATACTACTTTAATATTGTGACATTATGACTTTAAACTCATAATATTACATCTTTATTCCCATATTATGACTTTATTTTTAAACTACTTTAATATTGTGATATTATGACTTTATATTATACTACTTTAATATCATGATATTACATCTTTATTCTCATAATATTATGACTTTATTTTATACTACTTTAATATTGTGATATTATGACTTTATTCTCGTAATTATTTTTTAATCTCGTTGTGTGGCCCTGATACTCCGTCATAAATTTATAACTTTTCAACATTAGACGATTTAGGCTACTGTTTTCTATTTTCTCTCTCGAAATTTTCTGAAATTATTCTCGTAAATATACGATTTTTTAAGCTCAGTTTTTGTCTCGAACATTTCTTAAATTAACCTCAGAATGTGTGAGTCTTTTGTCCTGAAGCTTTGCCCCTCATGGTCCCACCTGCACACTGACCCTGGACTTTGAACCCTGGTTGTCCTGGGTTGGTGGTGGTGCCTTCACGGACCCAGGTCCTGTCAGTAAATTGTACAGGACTTTATAAAGCTTCAGACCACAGCAGTAAAATATCCCGGGGTCATCAGTAATCATTGAATTAAACTGTTACAGGAGCAGGTGAAACTTATTTCTCACTGATATATAGATACAAACGGAACATACAGGTGAGCATGTGGAGTTTCCTAGCGCAGGTGAACTGCTCCTCTGTGAAGTGACGTCAGAGGGATGGGCAGGTCACGTGGTGGAGTCTAAAGGAAACCGCTGGTTTAATGTTACTGAAATGGGAGAGAAAAGGAGGATATTTATCGAAGAGACGAAGGTAAGCAGTGTTTTCTGTTCTGTTCTTTTATAACTGCTGACACATGTTGTCTGCAGCTGTGTTTGTTTACTAAGTGACGGTAAAAAGTTAGCTAATGTCGGTGTGGGGGGGTCTGAGCAGAGCTAACTGTGGAGCAAAGGTTTCCTCTGCTCACCTGTTTATCACTGGACAGGTAGAAACAAACAGCTGCTGTCGGACATGACGTCACATGTTACTGAAACAGGAAGACTTGAACTAAACATTTAGTTCAGTGGTTTCACCTGGTTTCACCTGGTTTCACCTGGTTCTTCTCAGGTCTGTTGGACACAAACAGCGTCAGTCTGACAGCTCGGTTTAAATTTATAAAACAAGGAGTCAAATAAAACTAAACTATCTTTACTTTTCTCTACAGCACTTTATTACAAATACACAGCTGCAAACTAACTAAGTACAAATACTTTGTTACTGTACTTAAGTAGAGTTTTTGGTTATCTGTACTTTGAGTAATTATTTTTCAGCGTACTTTTTACTTTTACTCATTACATTTTTACACAATTATCTGTACTTTCTACTCACTACATTTTTAAAAAGGTAAGAAGTAGAAAGTTGTTACTCCTGTTTTATTCTGAGTTGTTACTTAATAAATCCTCTCCTGATAAACTG